TGTTTTGTGATTTTTGATTTTTTATTATAAATTTAGGGTGAATACATGGTAGTATCTGTACAAATATTTTTAACTATTTGATAATGAATACTAATATCCCTACATACGCAGTTCTCAAACTCGGAACCTTAAGAATAACAACAATCTCTTAATAACTAAGGTCACTTGGCTTATGTTGATTTTTTAATACCTAATAAATCTTTATATATTTTCAAATAGTTTAATATTTTGAATGCTGCCAATATTTGATTCTGACTCCGTCTGTGATTCAAAACAATATAACTTGGTACAAGCCGCAAAAAATCAATTAAATTATATCATAACCAATCTAGAACTACAAATAGTGGTAACCAATTCTAATATTTATCCCACTCTGCACAAACTTCCACCGTTACATACTATGTGGATAGAGTAGTCTACCATTGTAACTTCCTTATTTTTAAATTTGTTAAAGAATTGCCGGTTAATTCAATGGGATGAAGCACTAGATCACTTAAGTAAGGTTAGGAGTTTGAATATTGACAATTACGAATAAAATAAACTAGGTTGAGAGGGTTGTTCTTGCCTTTACAATACCCGATCCGGATTAGTCGATACATACATACAACAATAATAACAAAACCCTATTCCTATATACAATTGGGTAAGGAGGAGGTGGAGATAGTAGGCTGCCCCCAACGCCTGGTTGAGAGTAACTTCTGTGGAAGACCTCCGACAGTGAGAAAATAAAAATAAAGATAAAATATAATGCATGTATAAATAAATCAATAAATATATAGTTGAACAGTCTTCATATGCAGTCTTTATATGCGTGTCTGTAATGGGAAGTAATCCCTGCAAATAAATCCTTGCGTAAAAATCTCTGCTTATAGACAGAAAACATTAGAAGGATACACAGAAGTCAGCGATAGCAAGCTACGAGAAGGAATAAGGTCAAATGGGTTAAAACCTAAACTAAGGCAACACTACTCCACTACCCTAGTTATAAGCCTTCATAAATTCCAATGACAAAAATGTATAAAAAGTAGAAGTCCTAGAAATTAACTACAAAGGCATTAAAAAGAAGACAGAGATGCTACACCCTATGACTGTGACCCACACTACTCGACTACCCTGGTCTTAAGTCTCCATACTTTCCTATCAGAGGTCATGTCCTCGGTAAGGGCTAAATCCTTCAAATCAGATCTCAAGCAGTCTATCCACTTCCTCCTTGGTCGTCCTCTCCTTCTGGCATCGTCAACTGTAATCGACTCTACCCTCCTGACCGCATCCGACAGTTGTCGCCTAAGGACATGCCCAAACCACCGTAGTCTTCCATCCCTCAATTTTTCGGATACAGGCACCACCCCCATGGACATCGTAATTGCAGAGTTTGGTGTCATATCCCACAGAGTCCTACCACATGCCCATTGAAGCATTCTCATTTCTACGGCCTCCATCATCCTTACGTGATCCTTCTTGATTGCCCAACATTATGATCCATACAACAGCGTTGGTCTTATTGTCATTCTATAAAATTTTCCTTTAAGTTTTAGAGGCACCTTCTTGTCACACAAAACTCCAGTTGCAGCCCTCCACTTTAGTCATCCCACCTTTATACGGTGTGTAACATCATCATCTACACCCCCATCTTTATGTATCATAGACCTCAGGTACTTGAAACAATCCTTTGAGGGGAGAATGTGTCATTCGATGCATACTTCTACATCTTCATCGTGTTGGTTCCCACTGAAGTTTGAACATAAATACTATTTCTTTTCAATATTGATCCTTAGACTTTTTTCTTCCAAAATAGTCTTCTAGGTAGTCAGTCAACTATATAGCTCAGATTTTATTTTAACAACTAGGACAATGTCATCAGCGAAAAGCATACACCAAGGAACACCGTCTGGTGTCGCACAATAGATGTCGTCCATAATAAAGGCAAAGATGTAAGGGCTAAGAGCATACCACTGGTGGAGTCCGATTTCCACCGGGAAAGACTCGGTGTCGCCAACTGTAGTCCTGACGTATGTAGTAGTTCTACAGTACATATCACGAATCACCCTGATATAAATAGTTGGGATCCGTCTCGTTTCCAAGGTCTTCCAGATCGTATCGCGGGGAATGCTATCATACTCCTTCTCAAGGTCAATGAACGCCATGTGAAGATCTCTATTTTTCCCTATATTTCTCCATAAGTCGTCGAAGTAGATGAATCGCCTCCATAGTAGACCTGCATGACATAAAGCCAAATTGGTTTTCCGTAATCCTAGTAATATGTCTCAACCTAGCCTCTATCACCCTTTCCCATAGCTTCATGGCATGACTGAGTAGTTTAATACCTCTGTAATTACCACAACGTTGGGGATCTCCTTTATTCTTATAGATTGGTATCACCGTAGACTCTCTCTACTCCTCTAGCATCTTGGCAATCTCTAAAATAATATTAAAGATATTAGTCAACCACTTAACTCCATCTTCTCCTATGGACAACCACACAGTGATAGGAATTTGATCTGGACCGACAGCTTTGTCCCTCCCCATCTTTCTAAGAGCCATTTTGACTTCCTCAATCCCAATCCTGTTTGTAGGGCAGTCATTGGCCGTAGTATGATGGTCGGCTGACCCATCAACGGTACTATCTCTATAGGGAGAGGCACCGTCATTAAATAATCCGAAGAAGTAACTACCCCAAACCCTCTTAATATCATGATCTTTCACTAAAAGAACACCATTGTTGTCCTTAATAAACCTAATGCTACCTAGATCCTTTTTCCTATTCTCCATGGATTTTGTAAGCTTGAAGATGCCGTTTTGTCCTTCCTTGGTGTCTAATCTCTTGTACATTTCCTTGTATGCCTTATCCTTTGCTTTAGCCATTGTTTTCTTGGCTTTTCGCTTTGCCTACTTGTATCTTTGTTTAGCTCTCGATCTTTCTTCGTCGTCATTGCATTGTAGAAACTCCTTGAAGCAAGTTTGCTTTGTCTTCACCTTAGTTTGGACTTTGTCATTCCACCACCACGATTCTTTATGTTCCTTGACCTTTCCTGTCGACAACCCAAGGGTGTTTTTGCCCACCTCTCTGATGGAATTTGCTATATTTTTCCATAATATATATGCATTATTTGAGTTTATAGTTCCAAAACCTGTATGAGACAAAACCTTACTCCTAAAGTCATTAGCTGTCGCTCCATGTAAGTTCTTCCAAAGAATCATAGGTTTACCTAGTTTAGCCCTCCTATGAGTGCTCCGCTCGTGGCGTACACGAAACACCAAAACCAACAATCTGTGTTGTGATGCACATGCCTCTTCAGGGAACACCTTACAGTCAATGCAAGCCCATCGATCCCGATTTTGAACCAGGATGTAGTCGATTTGGGTATAATGTCCCTCGCTATGGAATGTAATCAAGTTCACATCTCTCTTGTTAAAGAAGGAGTTAGTGATCACCATATCGTGTGCAGTAGCGAATTCAAGCAACGTGCACCCCTCCTCGTTCCTACTACCAAAACCGAAACCCCCATGAACACCGTCATACCCGTCGATTGCTCTACCTATATGGCCATTGAAGTATCCCCCTATGAAAACTCTTTGGTCCTCCGGAATGCTCTTAAGTACATCATCTAACGAATCCCAGAAGCAACATTTCTCTCCTCCCCTAAGCCAATGTGTGGGGCGTACACTAAAAGGACATTCACCACTTCCGCTTCTATAATATCCTTAATCATCATGATCCTATCACTGTATCTACAAACTTCAACTAAATTTTCTTTGAGCCTAGAGGATACCAAGATACCCACCCCATTTCTAGTGTTATCTATGCCTGAACAACACAACTTGTACCCGTTACACTCTCTGGTGCGAGCCCCTTTCCACCTAGTCTCTTGAATACATGCAAAATCTATTTTTCTATTACTTAGTACGTCGGTCAGCTCCAACAGCCTAACATTCAATGTGCCTACATTCAACGAACAAACTCTAAGTCTAGTCTCCTTGCTACCACTCTGTCGAGCTCTCCCCCTATACGCCCTATGGGATCTAGAAGAAAGACATGACCTCAAGTAATCATCTATAGCCGAAGCTATGAGAAACTATGAAAAAGGAATCCAAAGAAGACAAAAGATGCACCAATAAACGCCAGAAAATTGAGGGGTACTAAGAAGCCTAGTTGGTTACTTAATAGGATTTTAATTTATATAATGCTATTGTTATTATTATTGCTAAAAGCCTAGTGTTAAAAGAGAAGAAAATAGAATAATATTGATTTTACTCTGTTGAGATCTAGAATGAAACTTCAATCTGATATGGATCTATAACGGCTAAAAGAACATGCAGTTAGCAACAAAGAAAAAAAACATGCAACAACAAATGGTTGTTGAAATTACAGACCAGTAAAGATCGAAAAATAGATGAAGAAACAATAATTGTTGAAATTTAACCAACGAACAAGATTCTCTCTTGACAAACCCAAGACAACATACGAGCAACAAAAACCAGCAGTGATGAATTAGATCTAGACGAGGCATATAAAAAATGAAGCGGTAGACGAAACAAGTAGAAAGAGAATAGTTTGTCTAAACAAGCTAAATCTAAGTTGAAAATTTCAACCTTTTGAAGGAATACAACAAAAAAAGTTAGAGGGCCACATTGAAAAAAAATACAAAGGTCACATTAGTTTTTTCTAAAAATACAGGGACCTTTGATGATTTTTGCCAAAAATAACTTCTCGTGTAATGAACGTACTTGGAGTCGCTGGTGGATATAAATAGGGCAGTATGAAGGTTGAGTAAAGGCCGAGAAATCCTCTCCATTGTCTTCTCCCTCGGCCTCGCCTCCCCTCCTCCCCCATCGCAGGCACGGTCCTCTCACTCTCACTCAAGCCAGCCAGTAGACCCTACGTAGTCAAAGATTAACACCTTTTCGCTCTGTCTCCCCATCTTTCTATTTACTGTATTATCCCCCCAAATAAAAGAGTTACAATAAAAAAAAGTTCACCAAATTCTAAAATCTCGATTATCCCCAAATCATGGCCCTGCCGGAAACCCTAGATTCTCCGCAATCATCCGCTTCTTCTTCAGATCCACAACTATCGAGGAACTTGTCGTCCAGCCGTCTCAACGCCCAAGCGGCTGAATTCGTGCCTACTCGCTCGACGCCTCAGCAGCAGCAGCAGCAGCAGCAAAGTCTGAGGATGATGATCCCTCCTCCTCCGCCCCTTGGGATGATGCACGTGTATTCTCCTCCTCCTCCGCCGGGCACGGGTTTCCACCTCCCCGTGCCTGTGCCACCTCACTTGGTTCCAGTTCATCACATGTCTATGCGAAATCATCACCCTAATCCTTACCACAACCATCATTATCGAGAGCAAGAAACTGAAGCTGTTGCGAAGAACGATCAGAAGGAGCACAAGGATCATGGTACAGCTTCCTCCAAAAAGGGACTATCCGAAGAAGCTACGCTAAAAATTTTGAATCAGGTCTCTAGCATCACTCGACAACGTTTCTTCTGCCGCTTTTGGCTACTATTTTCTAATGCTTGTTTTCTTTATGTGTTTCTTGAATTACTTGTGTTTATTCCTTCTTTGATTATTCTGCTTGAATTTCTTTGCGCTTTATTCTAGAATCTAATTCTAAGATTAGCCAAATGCTAGACTGATGTTGTCAGCTTCTTCGTGAATTTATTTTAACCATAGCTATTTGACTATTACCAATTTTCTCATTGTGGCCTTCTCCTCTGTCATTTCCATTTCAATTTTTCTTTAATGTAAAACACCACAATCTATTTCACAGGTTGAATACTACTTTAGTGATTTGAACTTGGCCACGACGGATCATCTCATGAGATTCATCAACAAGAATCCTGAAGGTTATGGTATGACTTCTTTCCAATATTGAGCAAAAAGTTTTAGACTAGAACTAGTTTATTTACATTCATACCATTTAAACAGGAAGTCTCACTGGTTTGACCACCTATCTGGTTTTTAAAAGGTTGATTTAGACTAAAATCGTTCTTTGTTTCCAATATAGTGCCAATATCTGTTGTTGCATCCTTTAAGAAGATTAAAGCCCTTGTAACAACTCATTCCCAGCTAGCTACTGTTTTGCGGAACTCGTCAAAGCTTGTGAGTATTTTTCCTTTGTCTCAGGTTTTATGCACTTACAGTTCCTTCTTAGGTTCTATTTTGTTGTTGTAGTTGCCTCATATCTCCTCAATGGCCCTGCTTAATTATTTGTTTTTGATACCATGATATACAGGTAGTGAGTGAAGATGGAAAAAAAGTAAGACGCCTGCATCCCCTTACTGAATCAGATATGGAAGAGTTGCAAGTATGTTTTGTTCATTTTATTTACCCCTTCATATTTCTTATGCAATTTTATTATGCATTTTTCATGTAAATGTCTTGTCTTTCTAGTTAGGCAGCATCTTAAAATGTTGCTTGAGAATTTTGTATATTTTTTGTAGCTTATATTCATCAAATTAAATATTCTAATGTCTTTACATATTGCTTTCAAATTCTTGTGATTTATAGTCTCGTATAATTGTTGCTGAAAATTTGCCTGAGGATCACTGCCATCAGAACCTCATGAAGATTTTCTCTGCTGTTGGGAGGTACCGAGACTATTACCTTCTAGATAAATTATAAACTCTGGGTAGTGAGTTTTACTTCTAACTATTTTTATTGCTTCTATGTTGACCAAAATCTCTTGATGTTTTCATTCTTAGTGTGAAAACAATTCGTACCTGTCAGCCTCAACCCTCTGGTGGTGGGTTGTCTTCAGCATCTAGGTCAACAAAGAGTGATGGCATGCATTTTAGTAACAAGGTACATTTTCTCATCATGGATATGTTGGCTATATTGTTTATTTTGTATGGAAAAATCTTCCCTTTTTTTTTGTCAAATTCTTAGGAATATTGTAGAAACAAAGTTTTCCGGCTCTGGTAAATAGAGTTTCCCGGCTCTGGTAAAAAGAGTTTTCCGATTTTGGTAAATAGGGTTTTTGATTATGAAATTAATTTTATTCAAAGAACAATTGCATATTACACAAGAGGATACATGGGATTTTTATATACATGAATTAGATACCTAGACAAGATAAGTCATCTTTTCTACAAATTAGGAGATAGTTTTAGAGATAAGTTAGGATTTAGAGTTTAACTTAAATACTACTTACACTCCCCCTCAAGCTGGGGAGTAAATATTGTGTAGACCCAGCTTGGATGTTATTTCGTCAAAGTTTATCCTTGGAAGTGCCTTGGTCAATACATCTGCTAGCTGGTTTTGTGAAGGGATGTAGCTAAGTTTCACAGTTTCGCCATTTACTTTTTCTGCAATAAATTGTCTGTCGATCTCCACATGTTTTGTTCTGTCGTGGTGCACCAGATTCTTTGCAATGCTTATCGCAGATTTATTGTCACTTTGAAGTTCAAAATTGTTGTCGTCGCACATCTCTAGGTCAGTTAAGAGTCTTTGCAGCCAAATTCCTTCACAGATTCCGAGTGCTATCGCTCTATATTATGCTTCTGTACTGCTTTTGAAGACTACTGATTGTTTCTTGCTTCTCCATGTCACTAGGTCTCCCCACACAAATGAGCAGTATCCCGTTGTTGACCTTCTATCTGTTAATTCTCCAGCCCAGTTTGAATCTGAGAAGATTTTAACTGTTTTGTTTTCATGTTTTCTGAAAATTAACCCATGTCCTGTTGTCATCTTTAGATATCTTAAGATTCAATTAACTGCCTCCAGATGTTCTTCTCTTGGATCATTCATGTAATGATTAACAATGCTAACAGGAAAAACAATGTCAGGTCTAGTTAGAGATAGATAAATGAGTTTACCAACTAGCCTCTGATAATGTTCCTTGTTTACTTGGTTTCCATCTTTACTCAATTTCAAGTTAACTTCCATAGGAGTTTCCGAGGGCTTACAATTAGTCATTCCAGTTTCAGAAAGTAAGTCTAGAATATACTTTCTTTGATTTATGACAATTCCTTCTCGTGATCTCGCTACCTCCATGCCTAGGAAATATCTCAGAGTTCCCAAATCTTTGGTTTCAAACTCTTTTGCTAGTAATGTCTTCAACTTCTCGATTTCTATCAAGTCATCACCCGTGATAATGATATCATTAACATAGACTATCAAGATTGACTTCTTCTTATCAGGAGTAGTTTTTACAAACAGTGTGATTGTATTGGCACTGTTTGTAGTTGTCTTGTAACATTACCTTCGTGAATCTATCAAACCAAGCTCGAGGTGATTGTTTTAGACCATTTAAGGATTTCAGTAATTTACATAATCGATTATTTCCAAAATGAATTCTTAGTGGAACTTGCATATAGACCTCTTCTTCAAGATTGCCATTGAGAAATGCATTTTTTACGTCTAGTTGGTGAAGTATCCAATCCTTGTTCACTGCCAAGGATAATAGAACTCGAACAGTGTTGAGTTTTGCAACCGGAGCTAAGGTTTCCTGATAGTCAACTCCATAAGTCTAAATGAACCCTTTTGCAATAAGTCTAGCGTTCTCTCTCTCAATTTTTCCATCTGCCATGAGTTTCGCAGTAAAGACCCATTTGCAGCCGACTAGTTTATTGTCTTTAGGTAGATCAACAATGACCCAGGTTTTATTGTTTTCTAGAGCTGAAATTTCTTCTTCAACTGCGTTCTTCCACTCAGGACTTTTTAATGACTCCTCTATGGTCTTTGGAATGTGAATATGATACCTGAGATGTGAAAGTCTTAAAACCAGAAATTAGTTTCCCATAAGCAACAAATTTACTAATAGGATGAGTTGTACATCGTCTAACTCCATTTCTTTGAGCAATTGGTAACTCACTAGAATCAATTACCACATCCAACTTACATTGGTCACTATCTCCTTTGTCTGTCGATTGATTTAAACCCGGTTCTGGCTCTTGATAATGCATTGGTTGCGGTGTGGAAGGTAGGGCTTTTTTGGGTCGTCTTTTGTAGATGAGAATATCGGTAGATGGTCTAGGTGTTTCATGAGAGTCGATGGGATTAATGGATTGGTTTTTATTATCAGATGTGGTGGTGTTAGGAGGTTGTGGAGTGGGAGTTTTTTCAGTAGAAGATGGACTGATGGGTAACTCAGTAATAATCGATAAAAATTGGAATTCAGACTCACTCTCCCCCTGGATTTCGGTTTTTGAGAAGAACGGTTTATGTTCTTGAAAAGTGTCATCCATAGATGTGAAGAACCTTTTTGTAGAAGGAGAGTGGCAACGATAACCTTTCTGATGGGATGAATAACCAACAAAGACACACCGAATTGCCCGAGGATCAAGTTAAGATTTATGAGGATTGTGGTCATGGACAAAGGCAATACAACCAAAGACACGAAGAGGAACAAAAGAGGTAAAATGTTTGAAGTGAGGGAATTTAGTGGAAAGGATATCCCGTGGACATTTAAAGGCAAGAATCTTACTAGGCAAACGATTGATTAGAAAAGTAGCTGTTAAGAGAGCCTCACCCCAAAGGTATTTCGGAACATTAGAATAAAAAAGGAGTGCTCAGGTTACCTCAAGAAGATGACGTTTTTACGTTCGGCGACCCCATTTTGTTGTGGAGTGTCGACATAGGAGGTGAGGTGGACTATTTCGTTTTCCTGGGAGATGGATCCCAACGATAGAGAGGTATTCCCCACCATTATCAGATTTAAGGATGCCAATGGAACTTTGGAATTGTGTTTCAACCATTTTGTGGAATCGTTTGAAGATGGTACAAGACTCTGATTTGTCCTTCATAAGAAAGGTCCAAGTGGTACGAGAGTGGTCGTCAATAAAAGTAATAAACCAATGAATTCCATGTAAACCCGTAACCTGTGAAAGTCCCCAAATGTCGCTATGAATTAAGGAAAAAGGTTTAGGAAAGCGAGAGGGAGGAGGAGGATAAAAACTCCGAATGTCTTTTGCAAGAGAGCAAATGTCACAAGAAAATGATGCCAGATTTTTATTAATAAATAATTTACGAAACAATTTTGTAAGATAAGAAAAACTTAGGTGACCTAACCTAAAATGCCATAACACAATGTTGGCAGCCGCATCTGTGAGAGAACTGAAACAAAAGAAGAGATAAATGGTGTAGGTGAGTGGTTGGGAACGAGAGTATAAGGAGGAGCGTCAAGGATGTAGAGTCCACCACGACACCTAGCATTGCCAATCACCATCCCCGATGTCAAATCTTGAAATTCACAATAATCACGAGTAAAATGAGAAGTACAACCCAAATAGGTAGTTAATTTGCTAATCGAAAGAAGATTGCATGTCAAACTTGGAACAAATAGAACATTAGACAAAGTAATGTGACTATTAATGCGAATTGAGCCACTGTCCTTAACCGGTGATTAAGAGCCATCAGCAGTACGAACACTGCATGAGATACCATTTTTGTAAAATGTGCAAAATAAACTGAAGTTGCCCGTCATATGATCATTTGCTCCGGAATCAACAATCCAAGAGACACATCCTGGTGAAGGGAATAAGAAGGTAAAAGGATAACTACCTTCACTAACAGTGCAGGCAAACTTGGACTTAGTAGCAGGAGGAATCTGTAAATAACCAAACATCTGCTGTAGATCGTCCAACTGTTGACGAGAAAAGGAACCACCCTCCAATGTCGTTACAACAGAGTTACCGTGAGATGGACGCGAGGAGGATTTGGATGGAGTCCAATTGGCTGGACGGCCATGGAGCTTCCAACATTTATCACGAACATGACCAGGCTTTTGACAGTGATCGCACCAGGGACGACCTTTCTTGACATGTGTGTCGCCATATGAATGTGTATTTAAGGCAGAACTTTCAACGGGTGGAGGAAGCATCAGAGAGCAGTGGCTTTCTTCGCGGCGGACTTCAGAGAACACCTCGCGAAGAGACAGAAGAGGCCTGATGCCCAAAATCCGGCCACGGACATCATCAAGAGAGACGGACAGTCCCGATAGGAATTGAAAAATACGTCGTTTTTCAAGTAGCCCTTTGTAGAGTTTGGCATTTGCATCGGTTTTCCAATCGAGAGACTCAAACAGATCAATTTGCTGCCATAAGCGAGACAATTGAGTGAAGTTTTGGGTCACAGTGAGATCTCCCTGCTTCAAGCCGTTGATTCGGCATTCAATGGCAAACAGAGCGGACGAGTTTTCTTGATTGGAGTACGTCTACTTGGTAGCGTTCCAGATTTTCGAGGCGGTTGTGTAGAGCATGAAGTTCGTTCTAATGTCAGACAACATAGAGTTGAGGAGCCATGACATAATCGTGGTGTTGTCGGTGAGCCAAATGCCGTATTTGGGGTTGGAGGGATTGGGGACCGACATATTGTCAGAGAGATATTGTTGTTTCCGGCGACTGGTGATCGGATTGAGACCAGACAATGTAATTCTCACCATTTAAACGATGATAAGTAATGGATGAGTCGGAAGGAGACGGATGAACAATGGAAGTTTCAGCCTCGGTTGGCAGGTTGGACGAAGAAGGATATGCCATGACTGTCGAGGAATTGAGAGCTTGGGATACGTCTCGAACTAGCAGGGAACACTGCTATAAGTGACAATCAGAGATTTGAGGAGATCGGCGCTAGGATGAGTATCGAATGGGCTGTGCGGCGAGGAGATAGTGTTGGCCAGGCAGTTACCAATAGCAGCAGAACAGGTACCAAACAGCGGAACAGGAAGGGCTGTCGCTGTGATGAGGGCAACGTTGGACCGACGGCGCGACAAGAGCAGTACGACGAGGAGAGCAGCGCTGCGACGGAAGCGGCACTGATGTGGTTGCGCAGCAAGGAAGACGACACTGTGAAGGGGCGGTGCTGCGAAGAGGGTGGCGTTGCGATGACGACGGCGATGCGAGGAGGATTTCACAATCGGAAGGACGGCAGTGCACAGAAGGCACACTGCTGGCCGGAAGGATGACGAATGGCGGCAGCAGCAAGGCTGGGATCGACGCCGGCGACTGATACCATTTAGAAACAGAGTTTTCCGGCTCTGGTAAGCAGAGTTTTCCGGTTTTGGTAAACAGGATTTTTTTATTCTGAAATTATTTTTATTCAAGGAACAATTGTATATTACACAAGAGGATACATGAGATTTTTATATACATGAATTAGAGACCTAGATAAGATAGGAGTAATATTTTCTACAATTAGGAGATATTTTTAGAGATAAGCTAGGATTTAGAGTTTAACTTAAACACTACTTACAAATATATCATAATTTTTTTTCTTTGTCCTAACTAACAAGTATCAACTATTGGAAGGTGCTTTAATTTTGGATTCTTTTGTTTTCCTTCTGTAGTTGCATGCATTTGTTGAATATGAATCTGTGGAGTTGGCTGAGAAAGCTGTAAGTAACCTGAATTTTTATGAAATGACCCTTTTTACCTTCTGTGGTTATAACAAATGGATGTGTGACTAACTTTGCAGGTTGTTGAGCTTAACGATGAGGGAAATTGGAGTGGCCTTAGGGTCCGTCTAATGCTTCAAAATGCAGTATATGTAGATTTTTGCTTCAATTATATTGTTTGCTCTTTGCTTACTTTTTCTTTGCCTTTATTTTTTGCAACTCATTTTCTGTGAAGAATCTGGAGTCAATTTTTTTTATTCACAAGGAATAAGGGTGGTGGAATATGTGCTGTGCTTTCCAGCAGAACCAAAATTTAATGTTAAACGAGTATTTAGTGGATCGTACAGTCCAAGCACAAAATACATATACCAAAAAGAGATCCAACTATACTTGGTTGTTTCTTAATCTTATATCATTTATTACATTATTTTCAGTTAAAATTTGGTTTGATGTTCTATCCAAAAAAAAAAAAAACAATTGGTTTGATGGAGAAAATTCTATATGTTTGGCTAATTTCAATCGACTATGAAGCAATACTGGACCATTGATTTGTATTTGCATTCTCTCATTTTAGTTGCAACCAGTTTATGCAAAAGTGAAAAAGGGCCATGGTGGAAAAGGTCATTGCGAGGAAGATGAATTTTCTAATACTGAGATGCATTCAAATGAGAAACAAGAAGATCCTTCTCAGTTATATGATATTCGTTCACATGGGAATCCTGTAAGTATCGACTCAATTCTTATAATAAGTATATACCTAAAAGATTTCCCCTGCCAATTAAATATTGAAATGGCCCCTTGCTATGAACATATGGTGCCATTCTTAATTGGCTAAGTTGCTGAACTAATGGATATAGTTGGAATTTAGCTGTGCTTTTAAAATAATGGGCTTGTTCCACATGTTGATTTCTTGTTGCTTTGAAGATACCTTAAGACCGTAACAGTAAATTCTGTGATGTAACATAAACCAATTGGTTCGACACTGTTACCTGTAGGGTTTAGAGCTGAAAAGAAAGTTTGGAACTTTTGTGATATGCCTTCTTTGGTAGCTTCTTTTTCTTTTTAATCTCAGTTTCCTGAATTTATTGTACCATATATTTATCTTGGACAGGGTGAGGAGCATCCTAATGACAAAGAGGGTGGGCAGAAAAAAGGGAGAAACAGGAGCCGGGGCAAAGGACGGGGACGGACTCAATACCATATTAACCATCATAATAGTCAAGGAAATCACGTAGGCACTCCAGCGTCAAGTAATTGGGTCAGTAATGAGCAAGCTACTATAGCTAAGCAGCCTCCTGGTCCTCGTATGCCAGATGGCACGAGAGGATTTGCTATGGGTCGGGGGAAGCCAGTTGCTGTCAATACTGCATGAATATCTACGCTGCTGCGTAATCGTGCAACTTTGTGCAATGTTATAAAGGGGTAGGGGGAGGTGTGCTAAAAAAGTGGTGTCGGGTGGCAGACGGGTTTTTGTTCTATGGCAGGTACATGTAGCTAATAAGACCATTTTCCTCTGATTTTGTATTGTGCGGGTATGGAAGATGCAAAAACATATGCATATCTTATGTCTTCTTTTTTTCTTTTAATATTTTTGGATGTTAGATTGGGTTGATGTAGTGAGTAGATGACAAATGCCCCATATATAATGAATGAATAAGCAATAATAGTACTCGTTATGATAAATCTGTTTTGCTTTCTGTGTGTAATGTTTATTTGTATGTATGCATATGTATGTAGGCGTGTAGTTTAGCTTATTTGTTTGCATTGGATTGTGGTTTTATCGAACTGGGAATGTAAACAAAGCCTGCCTGGCTGCATTTACCAATCCATTCCTGCTTGTCCCCAAAAAGTGCTGTGGAATGATGTTCCAATTAGCAAGGCACTGCCATGCTGCCGCTGGATAGAAAGCGGCAGCCTTCATGCTCAAAATACATTTTCAGCTACCACCAGCGACAATATGGCATTTCAAACTTCAAATACAACCATCTTCCTCGATTTCATCCCGTCTTCTCTCCATGCCCACTGGAACGAGGGATAATTTATGCAATTATACTAACTAATAGAGCTGAGGCAGCAGCTGCTCCTTTCAAATTGAAGTTATAGATGATCCATACATGTTCTCTTCTTCCATGGTCAACGGTCCTTTTATATTCGTTATTCAGAATTCGAAGCCATAGACATAGAGAGAGAATGGGAGTGACTCAGCTTTCCTTATGCTCCTTAACTTTGACTCATCCATTCTATGTAAAATAACAAAATAGCACATCCAGCCAATTGTAGTAAGCATGATTGTGCTGACAATTACAGTTGCACACACAGCAAACCATCTAGACTCTTTTCCGACCAACACATAAGTTGGCGAAATAAATGCAACCGAAATGAAGAGGCATGCCAGCCACATGAACAACCACCGATGTCTGAAAAATCACCGCAGCCAAGGAGATGAACAATATCGAAAACAATAAGCGGTGTCTTGTTAGCAGAATGGGAAAATATTTGTAATCAATCAGAGAAGGTTTTGCTATGGAAACCGAAAAATCAATCAAGATAGATATCTATCCCTGTTCATCTAAACCTGAACTAATTTTTTCCTGGCACATCAGGAAAAAATTGGATGTAGCACTAAAAAACCTCAAACAGTTGATTCCCTTGAACCATACAAGTTAATAAATTGATGGTTTTGAAATTTATTTAATGAATGAGAAAGCAGCTGAGTACGAACCTCCTTTATTGCAATGTGCAATGCCATTTGACCCTTTTTGTCTATACAAAAGCCAGTAGTCGGATCCTTGCTGAGAAAATATTTCACTATTTCCAAGTGCCCCATTCTTGCTGCTGAGTGGAACCAAGTTCAAAATCATTTTTCTGGTTTTTGGAATTGTTAATGATTGAAATCTTTCCTAGGTGGTTAAATATGATTATTGTGGTGTGTTTAATCTTTTAGAAATAGAGTTTTGAGCATTTGATCCAAGGTTTCGTCAAACTAAGTTATTCTTTTAGGGAAAATCCCTTATATCAACATTTTGTAAAGTTTCTTATGGTTTTCCAGAATTTAGTGACAAGTTTTTATGATATTTATGTGTACATGAAAAATCGATTCTTTTGGAGTCTTCTTTTAGCATAACACGAGAGCCATGTCAATGAGTATTTTAAGTTATTTTGAGGTTGCATGACACATTATGTTAATTAGAAACTTAGAAATAGATTAATCTTTGTTTTACTTTCCGTAGTAAATGATTCTCAATTTAATATGTTGCATGAGCAAGTGAGACATTCGTAGATAATTAATGCTAAGCATGTGATGATGATATGCCTTTGTTTTAATGCACATAATATACTATGAATTCAAGCAATTCAATAAGACACTTAGAAGTACTATCTAAGAATATAATTATAGTTGTTATGTGAAAAACTTAAAAAGTGATTGCGCAAATGATGAACTGAAATATATATTTTAAAAACGTAAATACAAATGCGTGTGAACGTGAATAATTTAAACTTTTAGATAAATAACATGTTATAGGATTGAGTATACTTGTGATATGTATTTTAATGGGCATTGAAGGCTCATGATATGTTACATAGATAAGAGACTGGTCAACCATTCATGGGACATGTTTGATGTGCGGAAAAATACTTAGCTTATGCTATATTTTGATATAGATATGTTTTGACTCTATAAATCTTTCTGATGCATTTTAAAAAGAATTGTGCATCCAACAATTTACCTTTTTTTTTTGAATTAATCACTGGTATCCGATCTATTGACCGACTAATTCAGATCGGGTGCTGCAGAAGCGAGGGCGACCATCTTAACCAAGTTTACTTCATTCGCAAATGCCATGATTCGAACCTCTGACCTTGCATAAGGGACCTAGTGTCTCATCCAACAATTTACGTTTATGTAACGTTTCATATGATTAAAAGTGTCAATAAATCGCATATAAAAGATTCAAGTGACGCTATTGTGTCATGTGCTGTGTACATTAATGAGCATGACACACATGTGGTGGCTAAAAGAAACGTGATAATAATGCATGAGATTTTATAAGAATAATGGTTTGTATGATGCATACAGGGCCGTATCTGGGCTGGGCAGGAGGGGCAGGGCCCAGAATTTCTATAATATACTATATATAAAAAATGGGTTTATATAAATTATGGGGCCTAATTATTTTTAATATTTGTTATTGGGGGCTTAATTTTATTTTAATATTATTATAGGTTCATATTTTCCTAATACTTATTATTAGGGGCTTATTCTTATAGTTTATTTTTTCTAATATTTGTATTAGTGTCTAATTTTTTACCAATATTTTTTAATATTTATTATTAAGGGTCCAATTTTTTTAATACTTGTTATTAGGGGCCCAATTTCTTCAATATTTTTTTATTAGGGGCATACTTTTAAACTTTAGCTTCTTTTCTAAAATTTATTTGTTATTATTACGAGTCTAATTTTCCAGTACCTTTTAGTAGAAGTCCATTTTTTTCAATATTTATTATTATGAGCACATTTTTATTTTTTTAAAAAAATATTTTTTATTAGAGACCAAAATTTTCAATGTGTGTTAAATGGAGTTACCCTTAAAATTTATTTTTTTAACATTTGTTATTAGGAACAACCACTTAAAAAATGGTTTGCAACCACAACAATCATTATGTAGTAGTAACATTTGTTATTAGGAACAACTACTTAAAAAATGGTTTGCAACCACAACAACAATCATTATGTAGTAGTAACAATATCGTCTGAAATCACGATATCCATAATTTTTATGCTCATAATATCATATGTTATTAAAAATTGACAATTACGATATTTACAGTGATCGTAATATCATCCTCTATATCTACAATAGTGATAAACACAACGTGACCGAAGATAAATTTAAACTGTAATCTAAATCTTCAGCCTAATTTTTTTGTTCTCCCTAAGGCCACCAAAATCTCAAAAATGTCCCGGATGCATATAATATGCTAATATTTAATTTAATTTAGATAGTAGTGTACGTTTGTGGTAGTTTAGACACTCACATATTTAAAAAAAAAACATTCACAGAATTTATATGAACTCACTCTCGTTTTACACATTTAAAACGTGTAGAAAAATAGAAATAGAGAGGTTGGAGAAGATGGCAAGTGAAGTGATCCAACGAAATAAATAATAAAGTTTTCTTGAGCATTACTTTAATTAATTTTAGCATAACACTTTATTTAATAAATTAATAATTAAATTGTAATAAATCAATAATATAAATACCTAAAATCTATTTCTTTTTATTTAGATATGAAACGAAGTCCAGAAGAGTAAACTCTCCATTTTAAAATGCGGGCAGCTAAATATAATATTTTTTTGGTAAAAATTATCATAGGTCCCTGTACTTTAAAAAATTAATATGGTCATTGTAATATTTTTTGCTTAATATAAACCTCCAACTCAAAAAATAAATTCAATATGATCATTTTATCGATGTTTTTTTGTCATTGACCGTTACAGTGTTGATATGACAGTTCACTGTACTTATGTGATGGTATACAATACTGACGTGACAGTCCACGAAGATTGATAACAAAATAAATGACGTGAAAAATGAGCTAAATTAATAACTCAAACATGACAGATGAACTATCACGTCAGTACAATGCACCGTTATATTAATATCCTACATAATACTATAATATATTAAATTATTTACTGAATATGTCTTAGGTTAGCAAAGGTAATCTAACAGAGGGAAGAGCTATCTCTCTCTATCACATTACACCAAAAGCGTTAAATCGATCCAACTCTTCATCTTTAATTTTTATCTGAAAAAATGGTAAGTTTAATTTATTTATCTGTTTGATTTCGCTTTGGATCTGGTTCAAATACGTTTGATTTACATTTGCTCTCCGATTTCTGTTTAATATAGAATGGGAAACGCGACGGACTTTTGAATTATGCTCCTTTTGCGTTTTATTGGCTTTGGAATTTTTTCTTTTCTTTTATCATTTCATCATTTCTATGCGGCTGGGAAGGAGAGTTGGGGATTTTAATCTAGTTTAGATCTGCCGCGTAAACTTTTTTTTCTTCGCTTCAGACGTTAATTCGATTTTGAATTTTGATTTATTTACCTTCTTTGAATGAGTTTGCATTAAGATTGTCGCGGTCGTCTTTCGGTTGGGTCCGAAATTGAACTTCGACTTGAATGAATTGGGTTAGAGTCGTCACCGATCATTTTAAAACGAATTTAGGTGGGTCGGACACCATCTTACCTGATATGCGTTGTACCAGAAACGTGTTGGGTTCAGGAGTTGGTTACGGTCAAGGAAAGATTAGCACCCTTGAACCGCCCTTTCGGTACTAATTAATTCGTCAGTTGTCTTTAATTGCAAAAATTAGCAATTTAAATTGAAATTTAAAAATTCGGTTCGAACTACTTACTTTAAATTGGTTGGAGAAAAAAAGGAAATGTTAGATAAAAATAAATAAATAAATAAATATTAAAGCGATCAAAGAGAAAGAAAGAAAAAAATAAATAAATAGGAAAATAATAAATCAAAGGAGATAAAAAAAGAAAATAAATAAAAAATAATAACAATAAATAAATGAAAAGTCACAAAAAATTAAATAGAAAATAAAGAGAAGGGAAAAATAATAAAATAAAAAAGGTATAGGTCAAAAGAAAAATAAAATAAAA